GGTGTCGACGGTCTGATTTGGGCAGGGCGAGTTCCACATTCTGACCGTTGTTGAAGACTCGTACAACCTTGTAGGGACCTTCAAATTGCTCCTTGAGCTTGTCAGTGCCCCCTTGGTGTCAACCCCGCCAGTCAGCCGAGTCCAGAAGAGCCCAGGAGCCCTCTTGAAGAGGGGGGCAGTCCTTTTGGCGTTTATTGTGTTGGAGTGACTGCTTTACCCAACTTGTCCAGAGAGCATCCCGGGCCTCAGCCCAGTTTCCTTCTTGCTGGTTTATCCACGTTTCTAGCGAAGGCGGAACCTCATCTAGTGTGATGCCCGATTGAAAGAGTCTGGGGCGCCTTCCAAAGACCAGTTCCATGGGGCTGAACCCTGTGGCAATGTTCACGGCTGAGTTGATCGCAAATTCTGCCGCCGGGAGTGCTTCAAGCCAACGGCTTTGGCGTTTGGCCGTAAAGGTGCGCAGGATTTGTCCCACCGTTTGGTTGGTCCTCTCACTCCTTCCATCTGCTTGTGGGTGAAAGGCCGAGGACATATGGAAGTCAATAGCAAGTTTCTTCATCAAGGCTGTCCAAGTTTTGTCACAACGGATCACTCAAAATTGACTGAGGGGCCCCAAATGTGGAAAGCCACCCGTTGAAGAAGCGAGTAGCTGTTTTTTCAGCTGTATCTTTCTGAAGGACCGGGATGATTTGCGTGAACCCCGACGGGCGACAAGTTCACGTGAGGAACATGTCGTAATGGTTGGAGGCCTTCAGGGGCCCTACAAAGTCAATTGCCAGATGTTGGAGAGGCCGGCGAGGAAGTGGTGGAGTCAGCATTTTTCCGCTTGGTGCTGTTGTCGTGGCTTTTGTTCGTTGGCAAGTGTTACATGTTTTGACAAATTGCTCCACCTCTTTGGCCATGAGTGGCCAGAAAAATTCCCGTCGTAGTTCAGTCAGAGTCTTCAGGTAGCCTAGGTGGCCTAATCGGGTGTAGGCTTCCACCATCAGCTTCCTTTTTAGCTCCGGGTTGTTGGGGATGACCAGTCGTCCATCAAGTATCAAGAGGCCCTCCACTTCGGCGCAATTGTCTCGTAATGGTAAGACTTTCCGGACTGCTTTGCACCAAGAGTCTGTCTTGTATCCAGCGATGATGTGGTTCTTCAGGGAGTCTGAGAGCACTCAGCCAAATTCGGATAAGGCTGCTACACACGCTACATCCTCCGCCACAATCAAAGAAGCTTCGTCCGGTAGGTGTTTACGTGACAGGGCATCAGCAACAGTGTTGTCTTCTCCTTTAATGTAGTCAAATCGGAGGTCGAAATCCGCTAGAAGTTTGGTCCATCTGGCTTGGCTTCGGCTAAGATTGCGTTGTTTTAAAAGATATGTCAAGGAGTGATGATCAGACATCACATTGATTTTTATTCCTAGTAGAAGCATTTTCCATTTCTGGAGCGCATGGACCACCGCAAGCAGTTCCTGTTCATGGACCGGATAGTTCTTTTCAGCTGGTGTCATCAAATGAGATTCATAGGCTATCGGAGAGGCGCCTTTCCAGTCTTTCCCTTGGAATAATGCCGCGCCCAGTCCGGAGCCACTGGCGTCAGTGAAAAGCCACAAGGGATCGGAAGAGTTGTAATCAATGTTTTTCAGGCAGGGTAGTGAAGTCATGATACGTTATATGTTGTTGAAAGCTTGTTCTTCCGCATCCCCCCATTTGAATTTTTTTGGGTCCAATTTTGAGCTTGTCAAGGGCGTTAGCGTCCCCACATACCGTTGCAGTCCCCAAATGAATTTCTTCATCCATTGTACAGTGCCAACGAACTTCTTCACTGCTTTTGGTGAGCGGGGGGATGGCCAGTTTTGGATTTGTGCCACCTTCTCATCATCGGTGTAGATTCCTCTTGCCAATATCCAGTGTCCCAGGAAGTTGATCTCTAGGCAAAACAGCTTGGTTTTCTTTGGGCTGCAGTAGAGTTTTGCTTCTCGGAGTCTATGCAATACCCGGCAAAGATGTTCCTTGTGTTGGTCGAAGGAGTCCGAGTAAATGACTATATCATCCAGGTAGACAACACAGAAATCATTCAACAGCTCACCCAATGCCCCCTCCAATCTTGCTTGATGAGTTGATGGGGCATTGGTGAGCCCCATGGGCATCACCCGCCATTTGTATAGTCCCCACGGTGTCTTGACGGCCGTTAGCGGGATGTCTGCCTCCCGCATGCGTGTTTGAAAGAACGTGTTGGTCTGATCTAGGATGGAGAAAACTTTCCCGGAGCCCACCAACCTTATCAGCTCGTCAACGTTTGGAAGAGGGGAGCGGTCCTTGACTGTTACAGTTTCCGGTAGTCGCATACCCACCTGGGAAGGGCAGTTGGGTCTTTCTTGGGAATGATCAGGCTGGGTGACGCATATTGACTAGTTGAACGGCGAATTCGGCCTGCTTCAACGTGTTGATCCAGGAGCTTGCGCCATGCGACTAAGTGTTTGCCTGGGTATGCATACTGTTTCTCATTGAAGACCGCATTTGGATCAGTAAGAACAATCTTGTGTCTCACCATCGAGCTTTCTTTTTGCATTTGTGTTGGGAATGAACCGTCCGTGAAGTGTCCATTGGCTTCTGCATCCTCTGAGATGGCTGGAATATCCACTGGAAAGAGATCCTCAAATTCTGCCAGGACTTTTAGCTCAGATTGCTCACAGGGATACTCATTCTGTCCATCCAAGGTGGACACTGTAGCAATGTTATCATGAATGGGATTCATTTCAGATTGGCAGTAATTAACAATAGCTCGACCAGTCCGGTCACAACGCAACGACCAGGAAACAATAGAGACGGAGAGACAGAAATTAGAAAGGAAAGGGGTGCCTAAGATAAAGTCATCATCTCCAGCTGTCGGCCCTATTTTTAGATGTACATCCTTGAAAGACCAGTCGGAGTTTGGGTCCGAAAGGGTGGCCAAGACATGTTGGCGTAGGATAATAGGAGTGGTTGGTTGCTCTTTCAGGGCCAGACCAACCACCGTGTGTCGTGTTGATTCCTGGCGTACAAGTCCCATGAGTGTCACCGCTGCCTCAGCAATCAGATTGATTCCCGATCCTGTATGAACGAGTTCACGTAAGCGTCTGCCATTGTGTAGTAGATCAATGATGAGGCCTGGTCGTACTTGAGGTGCTACATACCTGTCTTGATTGGTGCGGTTGAGCTCTTCATCAAGAGCTGCCAGAGCCGACACTGCAGCTGAGTCTAAGTCTGGGAATTCTTCTGTAGTTGTTATTCCCGCCACTGACGCTACGCGGTTAGATGGACGTCCAGCTGGGGAGTGAGTCGGTTTCCCTGCACCCAACGATGCGCCTGGGCCTTTTGCTCCTGGTGGCTTGTAGTTGGGGGGTTTGTCTGGGGCCGTGAAGCCGACGGGGATGTTGATGCGGGAGCGGCCACCAGGGCCTGGGCAGGCTCCATGTGCACTGCCGCAGTTCTTCTTACAGAAGTGGCATAGGCCTTTTGAGTCGAGGAACGAGTGGACGCGCCATAGTACCTCCTCTCGGCTGGGGCGTGTGCCGGATTGATTTTGCACGGGTGGGGCCGACACTCGGCCTCTTGCAGACGGTCGCTTGGGTATGGTATCAAAAAACCTTGTTGCTCGGCGTTTGAACACGACATAGTCAAAAGGTGACGCTTGAAGAAGTTCATGATCATGTACTTTAGACTTCAATTCAGGTATCATGCCAAACGTGATGGCCTTGGCTAATGCAAAGTCAGATACTGATACCTCCTCAAAGTTGATCATGCTTTGCAAAGTCCCAGCCCGGGTGCTGTAAGCCAAAAACGTTTCTGATTCGGACATTTCTAGTCGGACGACTTGTTCCCGAAGCTTTGAGTCCCATAACGCTGGGAGAGCAAATGTGAAGAGGCTGGTCTTGAAGTCTTTCCCAGAGCCTTTGATGTATATCACCGCATTGTTGGCATAGAAAAATAGTGTGTTTGTCTTGCGAATGAGGCCCCCCGCTATTCAAACCTTGTCTGCGTCAAGGGAGACCCCTTTTGTATCAAAGAAAATCTCCAAGGCCCTGATCCAGTTGAGAAAAGTTTCAACTTTCTGGTAAGGGCCTTGAAAGACCGGTCCA